CTGACTAATGAGCACCTATTGGATTTGCTCTTGCTAGCTAGAAGCCATTGGGATGGGGTGTGTGATACATAGAAATAAACACATGTAGCCCAGAGTAGCTTGAGCTTGGAAGCTAAGCAGGGTTGGCTATGGACAGTAGTTGGACAGGAGACCACCAAGGAAGACGGGGGTTGCCATGCAGAGGAAGTCAACAGCACACCACCTCTGCTCATCTCTTGCCTTGAAAGTGCGGTGAGTGGTCGGCATGAGCGGGCTGCAGCTTGATGGCACTTAATATTTATCTCTGCTCCTGAAGATGCCACAAGTCCAAGTGTGCTTCTCCAGTGCATGCAGTCCTCTGGTCCATGGGCGCCAACAACATACCCATACTCTTTCCATAAAAGAAATTTATTTAGTGCTCATGTATCAGTGTACAGTTATCAATCATTGCTCAGTTGTCCTGAAATGTGCCATAAGAAATACTCATAAGAAATGTACAATATTATCACCAAAAAGCTTGAATTTTGGCTCGGGTTGCATATTGGGGTTGGAGGGACCCTTTCACAAACTGATTTTTTTTTGGTCTAATAACTTAAATAAAAAATGATACAATGTAAACATTTATCTTAAAAAAAAAACCCCTCACAGTTGACTATTTACAGTAATTTGAACAGAAACCTATTATGATAGCTATGTGTGTGTATTTTACTTCCAGTGTGTTTCTTCCAAGCTTACCTTTCTATAAACATGCCCAGAAGATGCTGGGATTGGGTCCACTTTGGGGGCCCCCAGTTCTCTCCAGAGAAAAATCCCCATACCTACCTGACATATTTTTCACCAGTTTTTCTAACACCAAATATTTCGCATCTAAGACAAACTTTAACCCAAAGTAAACATGCCCCAATTGTGTCCATTTTGACAAGTCTGGTGTGTGTATTGTTAAACCTGAAATTGCTATCTAACCCCCCTCACACACACACACATACATGTGCACCTATTAGCAACAGGAGCAAAGAACAATCTAGCACTCACTCATCTTCACCTGTAGCTACCTACCTATTCTCTTAGGTGGCGTTAAGGAAGAAGCCAAGGTTTCTATACCTTCTAGTTCCAAAGTTCTGTGACTGCAAGGAGGGAAGCTGACCTTTTCCCCAGCCCCTAAGTGATGGCTGCTAACTTCTCAATGGGCAAATGTAGCTACAGCTAATTGCAGCTTGATGTGTTGAGGCTAACAGGGGAGGATGTTAATCTCCCAGGCTGCAAAGAGTTCCCAGCTGATTTCTCAACATCAAGCTGTAGCTCAAGCTACAAGAGCAGGTCAGGCCTCCCCCACAATTAGGGTTGGCAAGTACCTATCTATAAACCAGCGGGGGACACATGCTTCCCCGCCAGAAGATTCTTGCTTGTAACACAGGCGCTGCACTATTCCGTCGCCCAGACGTGACGTAGGCACATAGCCGGGCAACACTCTAGCAATGGGGCTGGAAACTCGATGGTACCATCGAGTTTCCAGCCCCATTGCTAGAGTGTTGCCCGGCTATGTGCCTACGTCACGTCTGGGCGACGGAATAGTGCAGCGCCTGTGTTTTCCCCGCAGGAATAGTCCCACGAACAACTATATATCCCCCGCCGAATCAAGGTAAGTACTTGGGAGCCCTGCCCACAATAATTTGGCAACCCAGCCCTGCAGCATACATTTAACAACTGTTGGATCTGAAGACCTTAGTAGAAGCTTTTTGCAGAATAGAGGTCCTTAATGTTTATTGTCTGCTAATGCTGCAGATCAAAGGCGAGTTAAAATGCTGGTAGCCCTTAGCCCACAGCTGCTTTGACAAGCCTCTTAGCATCCTGAAATTGCTAGGTGGCGTAGCAGGCAAGACTGTTAGAACAAGAAGAGGCAACCGATTCCCTCCTTGCAAGCCAGGCAGAGAGCATTACGATGACTTCTGGATGATGAGAGCATTGGGCAATCCCTAATTCAAAGGTGTGTGTGGGAGAGCATATATATGTTTAATATGAATGTTCACAGGAAGAAGTCCAGCAGTTCTGCCTACCAACTGTCTCCTTGTTGTACAACTATTAACAGCACAAGAACTGCCTTTCGTGTTACGAAACAGAAATTCCGAGAGAATGACCACTTCGGTTTTTAAACTGGCCCTACCCCTTTTTTGCCATTTAAAACAGTCTTGAAATGCAGAAGTTCAGCCTGTGAAGCTTTCCCTGGAATAGAGGTTGTGAGGGTGCAGCCTGCTTAATTTCTTCATGAAAAGCTGTTGTTAAAGGATCAGGAACAGTAAAACGGTAACACCCTCTATGTCCAGAGGTAATAGATTATGGAAGTCTCCTGGTATTGACAAGGTATCCATCCCAGTGACCTGTCCAAAATTTACGATCTTCAGGATAGGTTCAATGCCAGATTCACAAGAGTTATGTGTTTAAAACACATGCACATACGTAAATAAGAGCGTCAAAGTCACCTTTTGACCAAAGGACCTTTGGGATAGTCATTGCAGAATCATAGACATGTGCCTTCTAAGGATGCACAAGAGCTGAGATCACTCCATTTCTCCCACCCAAGCTAATGAAGCCAATGGAACCACAGCAGATGGCTGAGTGGCTGGTGGATTATCCACTTAAGGAGCTTCAGGTGGGTAGCTGTACTGGTCTGTAATAGAAGAGCAAAATTCGAGTCCAGTGGCGCCTTAGAGGCCAACACGATTTCTAGGGTACTATAAGCTTTCGAGAGATACCTAGCAAAGGGAGCTTTGACTCTGGAAAGCTTATACCTCGGCAATCTCATTGGTCTTTTAAGATGCTAACTGGGCTCAGATCTGGCTCACCTAAGCAGTGGGCAGACACCTCCCATCACTACGGTATCCTGTTTGCCTCATATGCAAGATACTGCTTCCACTCAGTGATTCCCACTGGTTGGCTGAGAAAGATGGGCTTTAGAAACAGTGGACAGCGTTATGGAAGCACTAAATACAAGTATTCTTTGCAATGTACAAATGTTGTCTTGGCTGTCACTAATGTGAAAGAAATGTTGACTTTTTACTACAGTTTGTTCCCAAGTCATGGAGATTTTGAGCGGGGAAGGGGAGACAGTTCCTTCCAGGGCAGAAGTGGTCCATATTCCTTGAGCTGTTCAATATTTAGAGATGGAGGCTCTGTGCCTTTAAGAGGGAGGAATTCAACAGGTACAGAGTGGCAACAGGGAAAAAGAGAAACCTGTTGCTGTCCACCTGTCATGAAGCTTCTAAGGCTATTGAGACTCTGAGAACAGTGTTCAAGCGAGCACTTGGGAAAGGATCCTTTAGAAAAGCAGGTGCCAAAAGCCGATCCTGAAGGTGGCTTTCACTTGTCCTGGGCCCCTCGGTAAAGCAGAAAAGGCCCTCCCACAACTAGAATGGGCCTCAGAACTGCTAAAGCAGTTCTGCCTCTGAAATTGACCTGCCTGGCTATTATTCTGCACAGATCTGCTATGACTTTTGCCTGTGGGTGGGTGGGTGGAGGGGAGTAACATTGTGAACCTTTCCCCATCACACCTGGTCAGCCAGAGGAAGGTTTCACGTCTCACACTTCTCCATGGCCGAAAACCCTCAAAGGCCTAGAAGCCCTGCCGGGAATAGAAAAGTAGCAACCCCTAGCCCTGTCCTAATCACGATGGGTAGCTGGGTTAGAGCCTGTCCTTAGCAGCAGAAAAGAGCAAGAGCCCAGTAGCACCTTAAAGACTAACAAAATCTGAGGCAGGGGGTGAGCTTTCGTGAGTCAGTGCTCACTTCAAAGAAGTTATCTAAAGCAGTGAGCAGTGACTCATGGAATAGGGATCCCAAGTCCCCCCGGAGGGCGGGGAAACCCCCGCCCCAGAGGCCTGTTCCCCGGCGGCGCCAGATCGGGCCCCGGGGGGAACTGCACCCCGATGTGCGCGTCAACCAGAAATGACGCGGGAACGCCAGGCACGCTGGGGGTGGGGCCACGGCCATACAAGGGAAAACTCTATGGTTTTCCCTTGTATGGCCGTGGCCCCGCCCCCAGCATGCCCGGCGTCCTCTCATCACTTCCGGGTGACGTGCGTGCGGCGTGCGCATGCTTCACGCACGCGCGCACAAGACGCCGGCCGGGAGCCCCCCGCTCCCGGCGAAGATAGACTTGGCAACCCTATCATGGAAGCTCATCCCCGCCACTAATTTTGCTATTCTTTAAGGTGCTGCTGGACTTTTGCCCTTTTCTACTGTTCTAATCAGGTGGTGGTGGTGGGGGGGACCATCTCACCCTTGTTCTACTGTTCCATAATGCCTTTGGGGTTGCCAGCTTTCCCCCAGCAGAATGTCTGTGTTTTTAACAGCTGGCTGACATACAAAAATGTATATGGAAAGGCAAAGCAGGATCCACAACTGTGTTGCCAGACTGCAACCTGCAGATTCCATCTGCTGCTGAAACGGGAAAGCTGAGTAGCTGCGTCCCCTCCCTGCTTACTACTGCAGGCCGGCGAGAGGAGGGGAGACAGAAAGGCCAAGAAACGCAAGCAGCAAGAAGCCACGGATGCGACAGCTTCCAGTTCAGCAGTGAAGGAGAAAGCTCTGGAGGACAACCTGGAAACCCAAGACCACATGGCCTGGCTCAGGATATGCCATCTGCGTGGCCAAATTCCCTCCATTTGCACGGAGGAGGGAGGGGCGGCTCATGTGCCTGTCTTTGCAAGGTGCACTTCCTTCCTCCTAAACTGCACTTGCGAGCAGAGGAAGCTGACGGGAAGACAGCCTCAAAAACAGCGGCAGCCCATGTGATCTCTTGAAGCTTGCCTATGTTCTACATGTGCGCCAAAGGAAGTCGTGTCAGAGGGCCACCATGTTGGCCTGCAGTAAGAACAGCTGGACTCGGGTCCGGCAGCACCTTACAGACCAACACGATTTTTGGGGGGTACAGGCGTTCAAGAGTCAAAGCTGTGATGAAGGATCATTGACTCTTGAAAGCATAAACCACCACCACCACCACCCCAAAAAAATCTTGTTGGTCTCTTAAGGTGCTACTGGACTCGAATCTACGTTCACCAAAGAATTTACAAGGCTCTGTTCTCCACCCCAATTCTTAAACCTCTGATAATTAACCTCGCTCTGGGTGGAACGCTCCGTGTCTCTTTCCTATCTTGCTATGCAGTAGGAGGAGGGAAGAGCGAAGGGACACAGAGGTGCGGCCACTCTGCATCTCTTAGGTCCAGTCCTGCCCCTCCAATGAACTTTTTGGCAACTTGCCGGTGCCTAGAGGCATGGAAAACAAGGTGTCTTAAAAAAAACAAGTGTGAGAAATGGAGCCGTGAGTAGAGTCACGTGACTGCATACACCCAGCACCGTGGGGTAAAGGAAGGAAGAGGCTGGGTCACACCTGATCCGTTTGATACTCAGATGCTTCGGACAGACTTTCAGAAAAGCTGAGGAAGTTCTCCTGGTACTCGGAGCAAATGATCTCAAACCGGTAGTGCCTGAACTCCACTGCAAAGGTGCCGAAGTAGCAGAGGAAGCACATCACCATGCCCCACTGTATCCGTGCCGCATGCATGTGGAATGTCTGTCCCATCAGGATGAAATCTGAAGAGGGGGGATCAAGGAAGATACACGTGGAAGGACGAGCACACAAACGGCACGATGGTCCCAGGTCCCACTGCCCATAGAAGGCTTGTTGTTTTTAGATCATGTGTTTTTTAATGTTATTCTAAAGTTTATGGTAACCCACCCTGGGGATCTAGTCTAGGATGGAAGGGCAGAATATTTATTTATTTATTTATACATTCGGCTTATATACCGTCCTGACCCCGAAGGGTCTCTGGGCGGTTTACATAGAAGTCTAAGTCTTACTTTTTCCCTATCTATGGCCACATGGTACAGGGGCGGGGCTGCCTACTGCCGGAATATAAAATGCTCTTAATAAAATTCTGCACTAAGAGTAGCTGAAGCCTGCTATTTGTCTATTGTTATGCAAGTGAGCCGAGTTGGAGACATCCTCTTATTCTACATCATTTGTTCAGCAGTTTTTGCTACTTCGCATCATTCATTCTGGTTTTAGTACTTGTGGGAAGAGAGAGGAGACTGAAGCCCTTGATCACTTAAAATCGCATTTCTTCCATCACTGCCTCTCAAAGGTTTTTAGTAGAGGATTTCCTCCAGTTCTGCTACCTGGGGGGAGACAGGGGCTGTATACAAGAGTTTCCACATGCAGAGCAGGTACAGCCCTGACCTGGATGGCCCAGATCAGCCCAATCTTGTCAGATCTTGGAAGCTAAGCAGGGTTGGCCCTGGTTAGTATTTGGATGGGAGACCATCAAGGAAGTCCAGGGTTGCAATGCAAAGACAAGAAATGGCAAATCACCTCTAGCCTTGAAAATCCTGTGAGGTCACCGTAAGTTGGCTGTGACTTGACAGCGCTTTCCATCGCCAAACAGGTACTGCACCCTCTGCCTCTGAAAATGCGCATTATGTTGTTTCCTATTCCCTACTTCCCAAATTTTACACATTAAGACCCTTCTATCAAGATGTAGGTACCTAACAACACGTGAACACGTACCCGAAGCTGCTTTATACTAGCCCTGTACAGATGACATGCCTGTGCGTTAAGTGACTCTCTGGGACAAACGGCAGGGCACAAGGGCACTGGTCCCAATCTCTGCATCATCTGAGAGTGCACATGGAAACTTGCTCTGTGTGCTTGCACCGTGCCACTGACTTGGCGATTGTGTGGAGGCAGGGTGGGGCCAGTGCGTTCATGCCCCCTCCCCAGATGGATCATCTGTTCAGGGCTGCCAAATCAGACCTTTGGTCTGGGAATGTCACTATTATATACTCAGATTGGTCTTGAGTATTAGTTACTATTTACTGTATTAACAAAATGAAATTACACACAATTCGCTGTTATTTAGAAGGCAGCTTCAAGAGCTCAGGTTGCCATTTAGAGGATTCCCGGGAGGTCCTCCATGCAGGCACTGACCAAACTCAGACCTCAGCAAGGCTGCAGTAGTCTGATTTAGTAAAAGGCAGCTTTGTGGGCTCAAGGGTGCACACAGAGGATTTCCAGGATGTCTCCCATGAAAGCGCTGACCGGAATCATACCTCAGCAAGGCTGCTGTACTATGTGCCCCTCCAACCATAGCCTGCACTCTTTTCAGGGGGCTTGATGTAAGTAAGCCCCACAAAGCTCAGCGGAATTCACTTCCACCTATAGGACTGGATGATTAGAGACAAGAACTGAGAGCCTTTCCCAGAAAGGAAACCACTCCTCTGTCAAGGTCAATACTGTCGACTCTGATTGGCAGATGCTGGGGACTGAATTTAGGACCTTCTGCATGCAAAGCAGATGTTCTGACACTGAGCCACAGCCCCTTGGGCTCTATAATGGAAGGAAGGTGGAATACGAATGTCCTAATAAGAATGATAGTTCCCCTTCCATCTCACTTTGCATCACACTGTCCTTGCATCTAGACCCTGCAGCTTGTACCCTGCAACTGCTCATCAGATTCTGCCCGCGCTTTCAAATGATGCTGTTCACCAGACTAAACTTGCCACGGTCGTTTCATTAGAACCTCACCTCTGTCAATTACACATCTTTGGAGAACTGAATCAGCTGGAGGGAGGGAAAGGCACAAAAAACAGAGCCTGGTAAATTTCCCCATGTTATATAAGCAAAAAAAAAGGAGGCTAAGACATCTTGAGTGAAAACCAGTTCTGTGTGCGAAAGTTGAGGGTACACTCATGAAACTACACCATAAAAATCACAAGAGCCAGTGTAGGGCCATGGTCAGAATGTTGGACAAAAGATCTGAGAGACCCAGATCTGAATCCCCACTCTGCCATGGAAGCTTGCTCAGTGACCGTGGACCAGTCTAACCTATCTCATGGGGTTTTTGTGAAGATAAAATAGGAGAATGATGTAAGCTGCTTTAGGTCACCACTGGGGAGAAAGGCAAGGTATAAATGAAGTTAATTTATCCATCCATCCACCAACCTACCTACCTACTTAACTACCCGGTTTTGTACTCAACCTCCAAAGTATATGTTGTACAATTCAATTTTTCCCCCTTTAAAGAACCTATACAGCTCGGGGCCAGAGACCAGAAGATACCCACTCTTCACCAGATCTTCACCAGAGGCCTTATTCTGGGTGCCTTTGTCTTCAAAAATTACACAATGAATGGCAAACGACCTCTGAATGTCTCTTGACTTGAAAACCCCACTAGGGGTCGCCATAAGTTGGCTGCAACTTGACAGTACTTGCTCCTTGGTTGTGGACCACTCGCCAAAGGAACATGCAAAGGCTGCCAATTTTGCTTTTAGGTGCTACGCTAAGAAAATTCTAGTCCCAAACATGATTTGGTACACTCTTTTGGGGAAAGATTACATCTCAAAGCATCTTTATATGCTGCATGTACATTTCTGTAGGTCCTGCCCACATCAGTACCACTTTCCTTGCCCCATGCCCCTACCCACCCCCATGCCGCTAAATGGCTTTTTGGTGCTTTTAAAAATGTGTATAATTGATGTAAAGATCAACAACCTCAGATATGCAGACGATACCACTCTGATGGCTGAAAGTGAAGAGGACCTCAAGAGCCTCTTGCTCAGGGTAAAAGAGGAGAGCGCAAAAGTGGGCTTGAAGCTCAACATCAAAAAAACTAAGATCATGGCATCCGGTCCCATCACTCCTTGGCAAATAGAAGGGGAAGTCGTGGAAGTAGTGACAGACTTCACGTTCCTGGGATCCCAAATCACCGCAGACTGTGACTGCAGCCATGAAATTAAAAGACGCCTGCTACTTGGGAGGAAAGCGATGGCGAACCTAAACAGCATGATAAAAAGTAGAGACATCACCCTGCCAACAAAAATCCGCATGGTCAAAGCAATGGTATTCCCAGTAGTCATGTATGGCTGCGAGAGTTGGACTATAAGGAAGGCCGAGCGCCGAAGAATAGATTCTTTTGAACTATGGTGCTGGAGAAGACTCTTGAGAGAGTCCCTTGGACTGCAAGAAGATCAAATCCGTCAATCCTAAAAGAAATCAACCCTGACTGTTCCCTGGAAGGCCAGATAATGAAAATGAAGCTCAAATACTTTGGCCACCAAATGAGAAGGGAGCACTCACTGGAGAAGACCCTGATGCTGGGAAAGATTGAAGGTCAAAGAAGACGGGGACGGCAAAGGATGAGATGGTTGGACAGTGTCATCGACGCAACGAACATGAAATTGAGCCAACTTCAGAGGACAGCGGAAGACAGGAGGGCCTGGCGGAATCTAGTCCATGGGGTCGCGAAGAGTCGGACTCGACTGTGCGACTGAACAACAACAACATAATTGATGTATAGGTAGATGTCAATTACTGATTTTTTTTAAAGGCCCTTTGGTGGTGCAAGGGGGAGGGACAGTGGCTTTGGGGGTCTAGGGAAGGAAGATGTGGTGGGAAAACGACTATGTGGATGTTCCACTGGTTTACAAACACCTCTGCATTTGCACTAGCAACAGAATAAACATCGTTGCCAGGTTGATGCAGCCATTGTTATAGATTTTATAAATGAATCAAATGTTTTTTTTTATTGTTTTAATGGACAGTTAGGTACTCTTATTGCTGCTAGGAGAAAGTTTGTACACAGAGTGGGATATAAATACTTTAAATAAATTAATTAAATATGAAATAAATTAATTAAATAGAAAATGAGTCACAAAAAGATACCAAACGCTCAAGCAAGTCCTATAGGGAGGGGAAATTTGCCCACACACCGGGCAGTAACAAACACAAAATCGAAACACACCAGAATGGACACCTCTCATGGGCAAGTATGTGCTGTTCCAACTATACAAGACCGACATAACTCATCACCTGTCAAGGAGGTGTGGCTAGTGGTTAGAACGCCAGGCTAGGATCAGAAGGACCCAGGTGCAAATCCTCACTCATCTGTAAAGCTTGGGCCAGGCACACTCTGTCAGCATAAGCTACCTCACAAGGTTGTTGTAAGGACAAAAGAGTAGAGGCAAGAACTGGATTCTGCCCTGAGCTCGACAGAATAATAGTGTGATGGGATAACAGTACGGTGTAGTGGTTAGAGCATTGGATTAGGATCTGGGGAAAGCCCATGTTTGAATCCCTGCTCTGACAAAGGGAGATTTGACACTCAACAGCTCATGCCCTGAACATGAAGTTGAGCCAACTTCAGAGGACGGCGGAAGACAGGAGGGCCTGGCGGGATCTGGTCCATGGGGTCGCGAAGAGTCGGACTCGACTGTGCGACTGAACAACAACAACAAAGGTGCCACTGAACTTGAATCTAGCTGGAATATCCAAATACCACCTGATATCGCTTTTAAAAGTCTACCTTTGAAACTGTTTAAATCGGGGTGTGTGTGTGGAAATGTGTAGACTTCAAAAGGATACAAAGGACTACACAGAGGGTTATTGCTGCAGACAAGACAACTCGTGGGATTCCAGCTTTCCTTCCTTCATTCTTCAGGTTGATTTTGAGCGTCAATGCAGACTGAATCCAGCAGGCCAGGGTACCAAACCCGAAGGTCAGGGATGTGCCAACATTATGTATTTCTTCATCGTTGGAAAGCTGCAAAAGGAAAGAGAACTTTGTAACTTCTTCATATGACCACTGGGGGGTGGGGAACACTCACCCAAACTGAATAATGATTCTGATTTATTAACACCAGTAATGAACACATGAAGCCGCCTCGTACTGAATCAGACTCTTGGTCCATCAAGGTCAGTATGGTCTACCCAGACTAGCACTGGCTCCCCAGGGTCTCAAGCAGTGGTCTTTCCCATCACCTACTGCCTGGTCCATTTAACTGAAGATGTCCGGGGCTGAACCTGAGACCTTTAGCATGTAAAGCAGGGTCTTTTCCACTGAGACACAGCCCCTCCCCAAATGGCTTTCCTAACAAATACAGTGGAAGCAGCAAAGGTTTTGGTAGTTCTGGTCACAGTGTTAATTATGGAACACACCGGCTGGGGCTGGGGACCTTGGGTGAGATGTGACATAATTACATGTGATTTGAGGGTTTCCCACAGTTCCTGTGCATGCATGTGGGGAAACTGCACATTCAGAGACCCTAATCCTCTTAATCCCAGAGTCAGGAGGCAACAGCAAGGTAAGGCCTTAGCCTCTATGCCCTGTTGTCGCCTCTCCAGAGGAGCTGGTTGGCCACTGTGTGAGGCCGGCTCCTGGGCTAGATGGACCATTGGTCTGATCTAGAAGGGCTCGTCTTATGTTTATTGCCCAAATACAATCAGAACCAAATACATTCAGAAGCATTCTCACTCATGCCTTTTTCCTCAACCCAAAACAGTCCCAGAAAGCTACTATTTGGGAAAACCCACATGTTCCCAGGGATACATGTGGGTTTCCCCAACAGGCCCAAAATGTCCCCCCACCCCCACCCCGATGCTGTTAGGAAACAGTTCTTTCCCCCGCTTCTCCACAGCACTGTGGTGCTTTTGTGCCCCTCCCAGGTTTTCCCTGTCCTTCCTGTGATCTTTCCCAAACTTGATTTCTTGTAATATTTTGGGGGAGAGGATGCCCAAAGCCAGGACAGCTGCTGGATCGATGGTAAAATTTGGACTTTCCTGGTTGTGCCTGCATCAGTTCACTTTTCTATATTCCCGTTCCTGTGGCTGCCACCACTGAAGGGGGGGGCTTTTTGAATTTTTTAAAAAATTGGTAATTGATGAACTGATAGAATAGTAGAATGGCATGTCAATTACGAATTAACAGAATTCTTGAAAAAGCCCCCTGGTGGCACGAGAAGGGAAGTGGGGCAGAGAAAATGTGGGGAAACCTGCCATGGGGAGACTTAATTGCCTCTATATTGCATAAGGAGACACAGTAATAATGGGGAAACCACAGAAAGGGATTACTGTATGGAGCAGACTTTAGAGGACATGGAGACTTTTGTGAGGACTGGAGGGCCCTGCGTTCTCTTCTGATCAGCTTCATCCTCTCCTGTACTCCAAGCCTGGTGGGACACCAGTCACAAGTTGCAGAGTCTGGATGTAATTACGTGATCGACCTAATAACACCTGTAAGCTTCCAGCAAAGCACCCCATATCTTACTACAAGAAGTTGAATAAGTTTACTTTATAGTTTCATTCCTAAATCCAGGTCTTCAAGCACAAAGAGCAGATGAGCAGGTGCTCACAAGTCACTGTGCCTCTGTTGTGCCTCTGCAAAGACATGCTCTTCTCTTATAAACCCACAGAATTTCTGATCCCTTATTATGAGGGTATCTCTATCCCTCACCTGCTGTATAATCCCCTCACCTGCCTAGAGGCAGTAGGCCTCTTAACATCAGCATCATCTAGGCTCTGCTTTTTTGGCAGGAGGGAAATCAGGCTGAGCTAGATGAATGCATTATCTGACTATGACAGATAACCAGTATAAATGAAAAGCTAAGCCAGCCAGGATCTGACCTCACAGTGCTTTCTGGGGTGTGTTTGTGTGTGGGGGGTGTAACACTGTTGTTCCATTGCAACTTTTAGCTATACAGACCTTAAGACATATATCTGTCAAGAGCACTCATAAATGATCAGCCAAGCATTTATTGTATTCCAGGGAAAACCACAGAGGCCAGGCATCAGAAGTGAAATTGACACGTAATGGAACAGTGGTGCCAAAAGCAACTGTTTGGAAGCAGACCTTATCCAAGATCCTGATATCAGAAATATTGAAAAGGAAGGGTGGTACATATTCCATGCTTTTCTCTCCCACACAAAAAAACCCATTCTGTGGCAAAACCAACAGAAAACAGCATATATTATGCAAGCGCAGCACATATTTGCACGCAGTTGCTAATTTCTGTGCATTATTGTAAATAATAATAATAATAATAGAATATAATAATTATTATTTTGCAAAGCATTAGTGCTGGACCCTTGACCACTGATAGTCCTGTACAGCTTTTGAATTTCCATTAGAATTTGTCTGGTGTTTTGAGGTTATTTTTGCTTCACACTTTCAGTACAGATTAGATTTTGGGTTCACTTGGAGCAAAATGCTGGATTCTAATACTGAAATTTGAAACTCACAGGAATTAGTCTGACAGAGAAACAAAGAGATGTTGGTGGGGGTACAGTACACACCAAGAGCTTTGGGGGGTGATATTTCCTTGTGTGGCTTCTTACATTTTTATTCCATTAACTCAAAAGTGATAGTAATGCCGTCATTACCTGTAATAGTAATTCTGAAGGGTCCAAACTTTTTGACATTAGGCAACCTGTCAGGAAGTCACAGAGCAGGTCTGTCTCAGAAGAAGAGGTTTTTATACCCTGCTTTTCTCTACCCTAAGTGGTCTATAATCTCCTTCCCTTCCTCTCCCCACAACAGGCACCTTGTGAGGTAGGTGAGGATGAGAGAGTTCTGAGAGAACTGGGACTGGCCCAACGTCACCCAGCAGGCCTCATGTGGAGGCCTGCTCTCATGTAGTGCAGAACAGTGGCTCAACAGTGCAAAAAGACATTTCAGCAACTGATTTCCAATATTAAACCCAACTGATATTACCCTGCCAGTTTCCCTACTTGAATCCATAGCTCAGTCAAGACTTTCTGCAACAGAAATGTATACATTTCCATGCAGCTACCTGTGAAAGACGCTTTGGTACAGAAAATTCCTTCCCTTCATGTGCAGTGGTTTACAAACCGGAGCGTCTCTTTCCACAGGCAAAGCCCAACACACACTCTCTTAGAAAACAAACTATCAGCTCACAAGGATAAAGCAAACTGCGTAAAGGCTCATGGAAGCAGCCCTCATGTGGCCATATGAGAAATGGCAGGAGGTTCAACTAAAATGAGGCAATGGTGTCTTGGCAGGGAAATCCTACCAATTCTAAGCCCGTTCAACCAACAGGGTGTAACTAGGGTTGCCAAGTCTATCTTCGCCGGGAGCGGGGGGGGCTCCCGGCCGGCGTCTTGTGCGCGCGCACGCAAAGCACGTGCGCACCGCACGCACGTCACCCGGAAGTGACGGGAGTACGCCAGGCACGCTGGGGCGGGGCCACGGCCATACAAAGGAAAACCATAGAGTTTTCCCTTGTATGGCCGTGGCCCCGCCCCCAGCGTGCCCGTGTCACTTCCGGGTGACATGAACGTCGGGGTAGAGTTCCCCCCATGGCCCAATCCGGCGCCGCCGGGGAACGGGCCTTTGGGGCGGGGGTTTCCCCACCCCCCAGGGGGACTTGGGATCAATGTTCCCTCTAAGCTGTGGAGTCTTGTGAGCTAAAATTTTGTGAGCAACTGGCATTAAAGTTGTGAGCAAGCGATTTGGCTACTGCATCAATTAGTTTGCTCTGGAGCCCTCCTTCCTGAGCTAAGACAAAAATGTGTGAGCAGAAGGCTAAAAAACTGTGAGCTAGCTCACACTAACTCAGCTTAGAGGGAACACTGCTTGGGATCCCTAGGTGTAACTCTGTTTAGGATTATACCACTAGTCCAAAATTTGTGTCCCATAGCACCTTAAAGACCAACAAGATTTCCAAGATATAAACGTTCGTGAGCCAAGGCTTATACCCCTATATCTTGCTTTTTAAAAGCAAGACTGAAGCCAGAATCACCTTAGAGGCCAACAAGATGTCCCATTGTCATATATCTGAGGAAGGGAGCTTTGACTTTCCAACACTTATGCCCCTGGAAATCTTGGTGATCTCTAAGGTGCTTCTGGACTTGGATCTTGCTCATCTACAGCAGACCAACACAGTTCCCACATGAAACCCGCTTTTTAAAAAACCTTATCACGGCTTTCCTATTTTAACACTGGCCTTTATTAAATTCTAGTATTCTAGCCATCAACAACTAACCCAGACATGTTGAACTCATTTGTCACAAAGGGTTAGATCTGACATAAATGTCACATTGTCAGCCCAGGCCATATATGCCATAAAATGTAACGCCAGGTACAGGAGATAACAACCTTTATGAAGACAGCAGCTGGTAAGCTTCGAGTTGGTGTAACCCCTCTGCAAGGCCCCTTGAAGCTGGGAGGGGGGTGTGCTGAGGAAAACCCACGCAGGCTTCTCTGGGCAGACGACCCCCATGCTGTCTGGAGGAGGGCAAACCCCTTCCCCAGCCCACTCCTGACGCCGATGCTGTGAGCCCAGGCCCCAGGGGGAAAGTGTGAAGTGGCTGGGTGTTGCAAGCTCCCCTGTACCCCCAAGCCACCATGGAAGGGGACTGGGAAGACAAGATGAACTGCAAAAATGGGGGGTGGGGGTGGACCAGGAGCAAGGCGATGTGCACAGCGGGGCCCAGGCCAAGCAAAGCCCAAAAAGCCGGAGATGCCCGTACAACAGCGACCACCTCTGGCCAAGGCCACCAGGCGATCCATAGTGAAGTGATGCTGGGGGCTTTAGCTGTGCCACTCCCATGTGGCGGCAGCTGCCCCAGACCTAAGGCTGCTGGATCATCTGATGGGGGAGAGGGCACTGCGGAAGCCCCAGGCTACCCAGGGACCAGTATAGTTGGAAAGTGCTGGCACCGGCCCCCCATGAGGTGGCAGCTGCCTACGGCTAAAGGCCACCGGGTGTTCCATGGGGGAGGGAGGCCCAGCTGCCAAGTCGCATGCTTGGTGGCCGGACTAGACCCTCAATGTGTAGAAAGAAACTACTGAGGAGAAGAAGACGAGATTGGATTTATACCCCGCCCTTCACTTGAGCGGCTTACAAACTCCTTTCCCTTCCCCTCCCCACAACAGACACCCTGTGAGGTGGGTGGGGCTGAGAGAGCTCTGACACAAACTGCTCTTTCAGGAACAGCTGTGCCAGAGCTTGTGACTGACCCAAGGTCACATCAGCAGGTGCAAGTGGAGGAGTGGGGAATCAAACCCGGTTCTCCCAGATTAGAGTCCGCACACTTAACCACTACACCAAACTGCTGCCCCATGGGCCAAAGCACAGTCACCGCTTGGGGGGGGGGGGCGCGAATACGGCAGCAGTGCTGGCCACCAGCAGACCCCAGCAGAGGATTGTCTGTGCCTCCCCATGTGTAAATGGTGATCCCTGCTGCCATCTGGGACAGCATCCCCAGAGCTGTAGGCCAAGCAGAGTGGCATGCGACCTCGCCTTAGAACCCAGAGCCAGCATGAATGCAACTGCGGTGGCTCCGAAGTTACCAGTGGGGCTGCTGTTGAGGCGAAGGGGTTCTCCTTGACCGCCACAGACATGGTTCCGCTGCACTGAAGCCACGATCGGAGTGGCTCCGCCCACTCCCCCTCCAGCAGCCTCCTGTTCCCTCCCTCATACCAGTTGCTCACAGGCAGGATAAGAGCCCTGGGTGGGCCAGTTCCACCCCTCGGGCCTTATATGTGACACCCCTGAGCTAACCAATTTTATATATTTGATATGACTGTGTAGGACTTTTAAAAAACAAAATAGCCATTATTTAGAAATATTAAAAAATAAATGTGTTTGCATATGCCTGAAAATGGGCCAAAAGATCAGTGGCAGAGCACTAGCTGTGAATGCAGAAGGTTCCAGGTTCAGTTCCCAGCATCTCCAGTTCAAAAGGACCAGGCAGTAGTTGATGTGAAAGACCTCAGCCTGAGACCTTGGAAAGCTGCTGCCATTCTGAGTAGACAATATTGACCTTGATGGGCCAAATGGTCTGATAAATGCACATATCTGTTCATGCACAGCTTAATGCATACATGTGTTCGTGTGCATAATTAATTGGGAAGGGAGAGAGCACAGTACCTGGAAGTTGCCAAGAAGGGTCATTCCGAAAGAGGCCAAACATAACGCCACCAGGCCGCTCACGTTAAGCCAGGGGTTCAGGACCTTTGGCTTTAGCTGAATAAAGCGAAGGACAGCCACCACAAGTGCTAAGCGAGGAAAAGAAAGCCACACACACTTGCTGTTAGAGCTCCACGTACAACTGCAATTATACATCCAAACTGAGGCCCACAAGCTAGATTTAGTGAACTGCACTGTACTGTCTGCTTCCAGGCAAATACCTGCAGGAGTTCAGAAGATCAAGAGCTTACCCTTTCAACTATATAATAAAATAAAATATATATATATTTATTTAAAAGATATTTTAAAAAAGATCTAGAGCTGGCATTCTCTTCCAATTATGTTGCCCCCGGTTGACTCACTGGGTTAGCTACAGCCCCTCTGTCTGCAGGATGCGTGTGTCAGGTTATGCACAGAAAAGTAAGCCCACTGGTGTGCACTCCATGTTGTGATTTGTGGGGGCTATTTCTAGGTCATTCTGAGGCAACACCCCCCACCCCAATAGTGCCCTATAAGGCTCTCCAGGGCCACCATTTCTCTCAGTACACTCTTTTGGATTGTTGATTTCCATTTGCCTAAAACAAGGGAACCCTTTCCTTTCATCGTTGGGTAAAAGAGGAAATTTTGACCTTCCTTCGTGAACCACACTCCCTTCATCTGTCCAACAGATCCCGTTCTCCCTGATACTCAGTCACCCTCAGAGGTCATTTCGGGGGGGAACGCGGGGGAACGCAGTTCCCCCGGGTGAGGTGCAGGGGGGCGGGGCACATGACGAAGCCCCGCCCCCCGCTTCCGGCCGCCCCGCTTCCGGCCCTCAGGAGGCAGGAGAAGAGGGAGGGTAAGTTGCTTCCTCCCCACCTCTCCCCACCCCTGCCTGCCTGGGGCCAGGGAGGGCCTTGGCGGGGCTTCCTCGCACTCCCGCCGGCCTTGCAGGTCCACCGCCGGGCCCCTGATGTCAGGGGGTGTGGCATATGCTAATGAGTTATGCTAATGAGTTCCCCTAGCTCTTTTTCTATGAAATGACCCCTGGTCACCCTACATTTTCTGCCAAATTTAAAGTATTGCCTACTTCCTTCCCGTTAGCTGTTTTTCTCTTCAAAATCATTCCCACCAGCTGCTATTCATCTAGAAAGCAGTCATAAGTAGAATTGCCAACCACTAGGTGGAGCCTGGAGATAGGGTTGCCACCTCCAGGTTCAGAAATACCTGGAGATTTGAGGGCAGAGCCTGGGAGAATGGGAGAGGCCTTGGTTGGATATAATGCCATGCAGTCTACCTTCCAAAGCAGCCATTTTCTCCAGAAGTGGAGTAAATATTCCAAATAAATAATGACTTATGTAGTCTGGAGATCAGTTGTAATTCCAGGAGACCTCCAGTCCCCACCTGGAGGCTGGCAACCCTAATTACTATACCTGCATATGCAAAACTTGAGTCTGCCCACCCCAGAAGCAATTTTTACTTGCTACAAGCAACTAGGAAAGTAGGTATTTACACAGACGCTATACAGCGACAGTGTCTCAGTTCCTACGTATAATGTGGGAATTATACTCTGTTACAATTAAATGTGTATCGCATCTAAATGGCACATCAACACAATTATGATGTGCGCAGTCCGCTCCGGCAATGTTCACACTCATGCGGGATTCTAAAGCACTCAAAGCTAGCAAAAGTGTCATGCAAATAAAAAATCGTGGCAACAGTGTAGTGATTTTAAAGACAGAGCAAATGGGAAGGGAAGCACGAATGTTTCAACATCCATGTATTTTAATAAATGTTCCGCATAATAATCACTTTATACGCCTCGTTCTCACGGGAGCAGCAGACCTGCAGTTGGGCTGTACCATTTCAGACTCACATGATCAACAGTCTTCTATACAGGCTGAAGGCAGCAGGAAAAAAGGAAGACCCAACGCGAGATGAAGAAGCCACAAGGGCCCTCTGTTTGCAAGACTTATGCAAGGCTGTTAAGGAGCCAATGTTTTAGATGTCATTGCTGCAGAGTAGGGATCCCAAGTCCCCCCGGATAGGGCCCCAGGGGGAAATCCACCCCGACGTGCGCGTCACCCGGAAGTGATGCGGGCACGCCAGGGGCGGGGCCACAGCCATACAAGGGAAAACTCTATGGTTTTCCCTTGTATGGCTGTGGCCCTGCCCCAGCGTGCCTGGCGTCCTCCCATCACTTCCGGGATTGTGCGTGCTGTGTGTGCGCGCTATGCGTGCACGCGCACAAGACGCCGGCTGGGAGCCCCCCGCTCCCGGCGAAGATAGACTTGGCAACCCTACTGCAGAGGGTTGCCATAAGTAGGAAGCAACCTGATGGCACAAAACACAGCCATACAAAACAAATTCCCGGTGTGTAGATGTTTGTGTTTTGACCTTCAGGCAGCTTATCAAGCCAGGCCTGCTTAGCTTACCAGCATGTGTGTGTGTTAAGTGCCATCAAGTCACTTCCGAGTTATGGCAACCCTATGATTGAATGACATCCAAAATGTCCTATCATTAACAGCCTTGCTCAGGTCTTGCAAACGGAGGCCCAAAGCTTCCTGGACTGAGTTCCTCCATCTCACGTCGGGTCTTCCTCTTTTTCTGCTGCCTTCAACTTTTCGTAGCGTTATTGTCTTTTCCACTGACTCGTCTTCTCATATAGCAGGGGTGGCCAAACTGTGGCTCGTAAGTCGCATGCAGCTCGCAGAGCCCTCTGTTGCAGCTCCCGAGCCTCCCCCCCACCCCCCCTTTGAAAGCGGAGGGATTTTTCCCTCCGCTTTCTGAGACTATGAGTGGGTTGGAAGAGTTGGGAGGGAAATTAGCTTCCTAGGAGCTAAGCCCCACCCCCAGCAGCCCTCAGTTGGGCCTGGAGGAGCGGGGGGCCACACGTGACTCCTCTTCTTTCCTAGGCAGAAAGGTAAGGCCTGGGTCTTCGGGGAGGGTGTTGGGCGTGCGGTGGCCAGACTTGCCTCATGTAAGAGCCACGTAGACTAAATGTCAGATGCTCGGGAGCTACAAGTGGACTTCGGAGGAAAAGGCGGGTTTGAGGGAGTGGCCTGAAAGTGACATCACAGGAAGAGGTGGGGTTTCCCTGCAGGATGTGACATCATCGGAAGGGGTGGAGCTGGGAACCAGGAGGCCATGGCGAAGCCAAATTACACTACAGCTTCTATCAAGATCTTTATTCTGCATAGTTTTATCAGTGCACAGAAGTTTCTGTCCTCCAAAGGCATCTTGATAGGAATGATGCACATGCTCACAAGATTGCTTTTTGCTGTGTTTTATCAACTGAAAACTGGTAAATTGCATGTGCTCCCTTTCTGGGTTTAATTTTAGAAATTACCTTAAATCAGAATTAAGGAGGAATGGAATGCAGCACAGAGTTAACTTCTACCTGCCAAATCTGTTTCAGTTGGGCATAGTCAGAATTCATACACATTCATTCCAATAAGCTGAAAGTTTAAATAGGAGCTGTGATAAACATTTGAGAAAGAACCTTTGCCCTTTTCTGAACTGTGGGTATGAGTTACTACCCGACCTGACACATTGACAGAATATGCAGTTTAAGCCCTGAATACTCTGTGTGCTTTTATTATGCCTTAGCATCCCAGCAACACATCACTTGGCAGGCAATGGCCAACTGCCCCTGAATGTCTCTTGCCTTGAAAACCCTACAGGGGCCCCGGTCACACGGGCAGGAAAATGTGGGGGGGAAGTGTGGCTGTTTGCCCTGGAGCAAAATAACGCGTGGCTGCGCGATCAGACGTCCTGTCGAGGTCCTGTGGTTAGGGGAGAGGTGCTGATCAAAGGACAATCCTGTGGCGCAGCAAAGAAGTGGCCTCTCTAGCAAAAGGCTCGGCGGGTTTAACCCCTTCCAGGGCTGCAGAGGAATGCAAACTGTGCCCTCCGTCCGGTCCCCTCCAGGAGGAGCTTCAGCCGGCCCCCCCGCCCGCCACACACCCCCTGCACCTCCCCCTCTGCTGCCCGGTGCAGAGAGTTCCTCTCGAGCAGGCTGAGACAGGAGTGGGGGGAGGTACAGAAAAGAGGAGGGGGCTGTGTTGTTTGTTTTTAAACGAAGTGTGCGCATGCGCCATTGGGTGCTTGTGCGCATCCCGTGGAGACTTGAAAAAAACCATCTTTTAGTGACGGGACATGGGCGGGCGCCGGATGCCACGACCTACCACCAGAAACGCGATCAGGCGCCCGCCCTTGCCCCGCGGTTTCTGGAAACTAGTACCTCGGAGGTACTAGTTTTTTACCCCGCATCTTCGGCGGGAAGCCTCGGGTTCGCCACGGAAGCACTACGCTTACCAGATGTGGTGCTGTGATCGCGCCCAGAAAATCTGCCTATCTTCCATCTCTGTAGCGTGGCTAATGCTCCGTGTGACCGCAGCCAGGGTTGCCATAAGTCGACTGCCACTTGATGGCACTTTACACACAAACACACATAAGCAAATGCGTAGTGCAACACGCCCTGCCCAGGCCTTGCTTGCTGGTGTCAGCTTGACTTTCCTCCATTTTCCCTGCTTCGCTGCTTTAATTTGGCTTCACCATGGCCTCCTGGTTCCCAGCTCCACCCCTTCCGATGATGTCACATCCTGCATGGAAACCCCACCTCTTCCTGTGATGTCAATTTCAGACCACTCCCTCAAACCCGCCTCTTCCTCCAAAGTCCACTTGTGGGTCTCGAGCATTTAGTCTACGTGGCTCTTACATGAAGCAAGTCTGGCCATCCCTGAATACAGTGTACAGAAAACTAGCAATTCTGTTACTGTTACTAGTGCATCAGGGAGAAGGCTGTGTTAGGCCCCTGCCACACGGCAGGGGAAAAGCCCTTTAAAGCGCGGCTTTTAAAAGCCGCGCCAACGTTGATACGGCTCGGCGGGATCCCACGGACCCCCCGGCCGAGCCGCCTTTTCTCCCCGGCGCGATCAAACGCCGGAGAGAAAAGACGGCTCTAACCGGGAGCCGGCCGATCTGCGCATGTCAGAGCATGCGCAGTTCGGCTCCGGCCCGGGGTTGAGCCGGCGCAAGGGAGCGCCGGCGATCAGACGCCCGGGAAGAGGCGCCTCATCCGTTTGAACCACCGAGGTAGGTGGTTCAGTTTGAGGCGGTTCTTCCCGGGTTTGGGCCAGTTTGGAGGCGGAAGCAGAACGCTTCCCAGATGTTGTGGTGTGATCGCGCTGCTTTGATCCGCCTCCAAACTGTCCCGTTCCCGGGCCAAATCGCCTCGTGTGAACGGGGCCTTAGATTCCTTTTCCCCTTACATACTAGACTTCTAGGCTAGGTCAGAATCCTTTCCCCCTTACACAGTAGACTGCTACATGCAGGGTGTCTTTTTGTTTGGCAAGATGCAAGGCCACATCTGCGGTCGGAAGTTGACCGACTCAAATGAAGATTTAACTCAACTGTGAGAAACATGCAACAGTATCTACATCTCGTTGACACTCCAATATTTGATACTGGATATTTACTAGGCAGAGTCTGACTATACCATGATGAAAATTAGAAGAAAAAAAAAAAAAAAGAAAGAAACCAGGCATTCTTCATGCACCTCCTACCTAGAAATGCTGCCATGTTCATGACTTGGCTAAACACACAGCTTGCAGGAGGGGCATCACCTGCAATACTTCAAAAATATAACGAGTATCAGTGTAACTCTACTAAGCCTGCAACAAAGATTAAACAGAAGTCCACTGATCAGAAATGGGCCAAGTTGAAATGAAAAAAACAACCTCATTACCTTATATAAGGCGGCTTCAGGGGACCTGGTTTCCTAAGTGAAATTGGGGGGAAAAATGGCAGTTTGTCACATTATATTGTAGCGCTCACAGTTCAATGCAGACTATTTTCGAGCCCAGGGATCCCCAACCGTTTTTGAGCCTGCAGCCACTGTTGGAATTCTGACACAGCATGGTGGGTGCAGTGCAGCCACAAAATGGCTGCTGCAGGACATGAAGCCAGCCGCAAAATGGCTGCCACAGCTTACCTTCAGTCACACAGTGAAGATCCTTGTGCAGTGGTGGCAGTTGCCACCAAAACACTATTTTTAAAAATCTGTACAGCCAACAAAATCTCCCATGGCCAACCAGAAGCCTTGCTTGGTGGAAACCTCACCTGGTCCACCAATTTTGTAAAAACGGTTGGGAGGCACCAGGAAACGTGTCGGAGGGTGCCATGGCACCCACGGACAGCACGTTGGGGACCCCTTGTAGAGCCAGTTTTAAAGTTATGATGTGCTTCGTGGATAAACAAAAGCACAGCACTTGTAGCAGACTGCAGAAATCAAGCACAATATCACAGGATAATGTGAAATTAATAAGATTACTGGTTAGGGCTGCGTAGCGTCACATCCTGGCGACGGTGGTGCAACGCGTATCGCTGTCCCCCGCGGCAGGGATCCTGTGAAGACGTGCGGATCCCCCGCCGCGGCTTGGCAGCCCTGTTACTGGTGTAGTTCCTTTACTGATTCACACTCTTGTTGTTTGGCCTGGACAAAGAGAAGTTTCTCTCCCTCTCCCAAAATACTAGCACTCGAGGGCATCCAGTGAAACTGATGGGCAGTAGGTTCAGGACAGACAAAAGGAAATACTACTTTATATAGAGAGTGATTAAAATATGGAATCCACTGCCAAAGGAAGTAGTGATGGCCAGAGGAATAAACGGCTTTAAAAGGAGATTAGATTGATTCATGGAGGATAAGTCTATCAGTGGCTTCTAGCCACGGTGACTGTAGGAACCTCCACATTCAGAGGCACTAAGCCTCTGAATCCCAGAGCCAGGAGGCAACATCAGGGGAAGGAGTCGACCTCTGTACCCTATTGTTGGTTGTCCAGAGGAACTGGTTGACCACTGTGAGACAGGATGTTGGCCCAGATAAATTATTAGTCTAATCCAGCAGGGCTCTTCTTAGGTTCTTATGATCCAAGAATTTGCCTGTAATCAGAAACTAGGTTGGCAACTGGTGGGAGAGTTGTGGGTAGGAATATGGGTAGCCATGATGGTGGCTGTGGCACCACATTTCTTCTGGTAAAGAAATGGAAGTGACATGGGTAACGTTAGGAACCAGCAGAAACTCTATGGAAAAACCACAGGATTCCCATCAATTCCTAGAGCTACCTAAGTCACTTCCCTTTTTTATACTGTGACAAAGTCCCACAGCCAGCCCTGAGGGCTTTTTTCTCCTTCTGTTTTTTCTCACCACCATGCAGAGCAGCAATGGGCAACAGGAGCAGCGGGTGGGGGATTCCCCTGCCCCCCCAAGAGGAATGGGACCACTATCAGAAACATATCCTGTGAGAACTGAACTCTAAGCTTGAGGCAAGCTAATTCTGGAATAACACTCTCAACACTGTTCCAAAGAATCACACACAACCTGATAAAAGAGATGCTGTAAAGTACTCAAAATATTGAATAATGAAGGCTTTTGTTATTAGAAAATAGCTTTTTTAAGTACTTTACCTTTCTTTCACATTTAGTGGTAAAATTTTGTTGTCCTCTACGGCTATAAAATATCTGCCAAAAGAAAAATGGAGAAGCTGAGATATTTTTAATACAACCATCATTTTTGTTTGTTTGTTTTTGCCTTTTTGTTCTTGGAGGAGGAAGGGGATGTCATAGTTGGTGACCTGGAGATAGTTCAGCAAAGGAAGTTCAACAGAAAATCGGCCTATGAAGGGCACAACCCGCAATTGAGCAACACAGCTCAAAACAAGTAAGCCAAGTCAAAAACAGCAGTTTACAGGACTTTGCTGGTGCCGCATGTTCTTTGATTCCCTCTGAACTGAAAGCTGCAGTACACTCTTTGGCCGTCTGAAATGGTGGCACTGCAGTGCAACAGAAATTGGGCCAGAAACTCCCTAACAGTGGGCCATGCTGCTATGAGAGCCTCTAGTACTTTACAATATGGTAGAAAGTCATGTAGCAGTAGAAACATATGAACCTGTCAAAGTTAAGAACAGTTAACTCTGAGTGCAATCCCAGAGAATGTTAAGCACAATATTCAGCCCTCTTCTTGTACAAATTTCAGTTTTAGACAGCCAGAAACAAATCAACCTGCCTTAGATTAAGTCATACCATTGCTTCATGCAGGCCAATATTTTCTATGCTGACTGGTGGTGGTTCTCGGGGCTCTCAGGCATAGATTCATCTTTCCCAAAACGAACTCTTTTTTTTTTACTGGACAAACCAAGGATTGAATCTGGGACATTCTGTAGGCAAAATATGGGCTCTATTACTGAGCTTTGGCTCCTTCCAAAAGGACAGTGCCATGGCACTCCAAATCGATAGAAGGAGAAAACTATAAAACTTCCTTTACATTTTCCACTACCAGCTGCAACATCTAGGGCATTCTGCATGAATCCCACAAAAGTACAGAAAAAAGGGAAAGAATCCTTCCTTCCTTCCTTCCTTCCTTCCTTCCTTCCTTCCTTCCTTCCTTCCTTCCTTCCTTCCTTCCTTCCTTCCAAAAAAAGCAATTATCTTACAGATACAAAAATGTACTATCGAGTGGGAAATCCTTGCTGAGTTTCAAAAGCTGAAGGATTATCTAAACAAATTTTCCAATAGCATAGAACAGGCAATGGCAAACCACCTCTGAACGCCTCTTGCCTTGAAAACCCCATGGGGTCATCGTAAGTCAGCTGTGACTTGATGGCACCCCCCCCAAAAAAACAAACAAACATAGTGCTAATGAGGGGAGCAGAATGGTATGACATAGCCCGATCTCATCAGACCTCAAAAGCTAAGTTGGGTCAGAGCTGGAACTGGAGACTTTGCAAAGGAATGCACTGAAAGACCACCTTAGCTTCATTCTCATTTGTCTCAAAAACTCTTTGTCTAGGTCACCAAAAGTTGGTTGCATCTTGACAGCTCTTTTTTTGCTATCAAGTCAGAGCCAATTTATAGTGACCCTAGGGTTTTCAAGGCAAGAAATTTTTAGAGGTAGTTTGCCATTGCCACCCTCTGTGTAGTGACTACGGTGTGATGACCCATACATATGTACATACATACATATAGAGCTAATTCAGATCTCCTTGGCACAAAATCTGGATTCTGTGGCGGTAGAACCTTAATTGTATTTCAGATGTACAACACCCACATCCCTATATATCTCTGTTTCCTGCAAATGGATATTTTCAAGAGACAAAACAGGTTTCACCAGGAAAAGGATGAAGTAAGTCAAGCGAGATCTTCCAGCCATAATAACGTCCCCTTAGCAATGAGCTATCTCGCCTTGACACATACTATGTGTTGAAGAACTCTTCCTTCCAGGAATCATTAAAAAAAGAAATCACAACAGTGACTTACACAATCCATAGTCCCGCTGAGGTAAATAGTGTCAGTACAAGAGGTAAGAACATCCATACGCTGCATTTCTTCCCATCCATGCCTGAGAGAAAGAAAAAGAGCAGTAGTAAAACAAAGCAAAACGCATACCCATGACAGAAGCATTTAGTCAGCCCCAAAGGGAACTGTACCCTGACCTGGAAGGTAGCCACCCTGGACTTCCTTGGAGATCTCCCACTGAAGTACAAACCAGGGCCCACTGACCTTAGCCTCCAAGATCTGATTAGATAGGGCTAGTATGGGATATCCAGGATTACTCAGACTTTGTCTTAAACTTTCATTTGGCACTTAAAGAATTTTTCTGTAAAATGCAATGAATTTCAAATCTGTACAAGAAGTAGATGGCCAGTACGGTTGGCCAGATTTGCATAGACTGCATTTTTTTAGCAACTAACTACGTTTCCTGCCCAGCACTGCGCCCTTCTTCCTCAGTCATCATAAATTGTTTCCATGTGTGTAACGTAGCCAGGAGATCCTAAGATTGTCTGGCAGCCAGAAGTTCTAGGTTGTTGTTTTCTTGTGCCCCCCCCCCGTACAAGATTTTTTTATTTGCATTTTCTATAAACTACAAACTATAAAACTACAATGAAATTAGGAATGGGAACTACATACTATGGGTGAAAGTAAAGAAAACCCACTAAAACCCCAAGAGATGGTGGTCATACATACTGCTTACCAAAATTAGCTTTTAGCTCAAAATTCAATTCAAGTTCATTGAATGTGGTCATCTAACAATCAATTTATGTTAATAATATGACTTTAAACACCTGACTTCTTTAAAAGCAATATAAGACTTATAACAATACATTGTAAGAGCTTTCAGAGTGTAGTGACGTCTCATTTTTTATACTTTTGCTTTCTCAAATGGTAGCTTGTCTTCGGGGCCACTGCCCCTAATTTAGAGTCCTCGTCTGAAGATGCCACTGCTCCTTCTTCTTCGCTATCTTTGGTGCTGTCCTCTTTCTCAGCTTCTACCTCTCCTGATGGACGACTATATTGACGCAAAAATTCACGTGCCTTTTCGAGAGAGTCAATTTTTTCTTTCTTGTCCATAAATTTGAAGATTGTGCCTTCGAGAACTAGCCATCTGTAGGGGATGTTTTTCTTTTGTAAAAATATCACCAAGTCTCTATATCTCCTCCTCTTCCTTCTTATTTCAAACGGGATGTCCTTTAACACTTTTATTTCTTTGTCTTTGATCTTCAAGGTAGATCCATTTGTCGCTTTGAGAATTTGATCTCTCACTTGTCTTCTAGAGAATCTTATAATCACTTCCCCAGGCAGATTATTTTTTCTTGTAAATTCTGGATATGATCTATAGATCAAATCTATTTTGCTTTGTAGTGTATCTGTTTTTATATCTGACATAGGTCTTAATGCATCACACATAGTCTGTTTCAGATTCTCAGTTTTTTCTTCAGGAACACCTTGAAATCTTAAGACATAGCTTGCTCTCTCTATTTGTAGCTGTAACAATTGAGACTCCTCCATCAATCTCTTTTCCCCCCATCACCTGCAGTTGTTTTTTAAGCTTTTTAGTGTTGGTATCCATTTCTTTTACTTCTTGTTCAGTTTTATCTGGTTGTTTTTTTTGCTATTTCAGTCAATTGCAATTGCTGTGCATCGAATTTGCTATGCAATGCCATCACTTGTTCCAGCAGGGGTCGCAATGCTTCCGTCAGCATCTTTTGTAGCTCTGTAGTTATGTCCTGTCTAGGGGAAGGACTCGCTGGGCCAGCAGTTCCAGCAAGAAGCTTTGGTTTTACTTGTTTGTCTTTCTCACCCTTCCTCGTGGGCGCCATGTTTGAGATTGTTTACTTTTTATATAAGTTATCACAGTCTCTGATACACCTTAAATAGCTTGGTAAGTTCTTAAATGCTTTTAATATCAGTCTCTCTTGCTTCAGTAGTCCCTTTTCTATAAATGCAAAGTTTGCTTAGCTTTTCTTATCCCCTCCCCTCGCTTTCAAAGGGTAGGTTTCCGCTTAGCTTTTCGGTGGTTCTTGCTTAAACTCCAACTCACATTTCAATGATAGATCTGCTTTCCTTTTCAAATTGCTTGGCCACCAAACGCTTGCTCCAGTGTGCGCTTCTATTTCCCATTCGGGACACTCCGCGGTGGGACCTTTGGGGCTTAGGGAAAGCCCCCCTTCACTGGCAGGATTGCTGGAGGAAGAGCCTTCTTGTGCCCCATGGCTGGGAGCCTCTTGCAGGGACTCTGGGGGTGGCGCGGACAATCGCGCCCCCTCCTCACCACAGGCTCTGGCAGCCTTCTACTGGAGGACCGGGGGAAGCGACCGCCATGGCGAACGCCAAAACCGGAAGTCAGAAGTTCTAGTTCTTTAGCATTATCCAGGGTGCCCCACGAGGAGACAAGCTGGAATTGCACCCTCTGCCGTATGATAAATAAAGAAAATAAGAAGAGATTGGATTTATATTCTGCCCTTCACTACCCAAAGGAGTCTCAGAGCAGTTTAACAATCTCCTTTCCCTTTCCCTCCCCACAACAGACACCCTGTGAGGTAGGTGGGGCTGAGAGAGCCATGACTGACCCAAGGTCATGCCAGCAGCTTCATGTGGAAGAGTGGGGACTCAAACCTGGTTCTCCCAGATTAGAGTCCACACTTCTAACCACTACACCAAACTGTCATAATAAATCTCCTCCTGTCCCCACACAGCTCTATGCAGGCCAACATCAACATTCTGCAAAAACAGGGAAAGAAGACATACAACGAGCCTGTTCCTGTGTTTTAGATTTGCATGTGTTTCAGTAGATTGGCATATTTTTCTGATGAGCGCAGAATTTGAGCTTCCTCATCGCCCATCATCATGCTTTATGTCAAATACTGAAATGAGGTTTATTCCAGGAAACATTTCTCTCTCCTGCCCTTCAAAAGCTTAAGGATTTGTTAATAGAGATAACAGAAGCTGACAGTTGGGTACCTAGAGACATGCCAGCAGGAACAAAAATCAGTGTCTCTACACTTTTAGCTTTCTCATAAGAAAGCTTATGCTGAATTTTTATTCAGCATCATGCCACAAAAGGTTAAACCCCATCCTTCGAGACTGCTGCTCACCTACCGCCTCTCTCTATTATCCTGCTTTGGGGTATTGTGTCACTTTCTCTCCCTGCTCCTGCCTTCCAACCCCACCACGCTCCATGCAAGAAATGCTAATTGAGGAATTCATTTCATAAGAAAAAAAAGAAGAGCCCTGCTGGATCAGACCAATGGTCCATCTAATTCAGCATCCTGTCTCACACAGTGGCCAACCAGTTCCTCTGGAGGGCACAGAGGCCAAGGCCTCCCCATGATGAAGCACTGGGATTCAGAGGTTGACTGCCTCTGAATGCGGAGGCTCCATTTAGTCACCATGCTTAGTAGCCACTGATAGACTCGTCTTTTCAAATAATCCCTGAGTGACAGTTAACTAAATTAGTATTTATAGTGATTAAAATGTGGAATTCAGTGCCAGAGGATGTAGTGATGATGGCCACAGGCATAGAAGGCTTTAAAAGAGGGTCAGATAGATTCATGAAGGAAGGTCTATCAGTGGCTACTAGCCATGGTGACTGAGGAGAACCTCCATGTTCAGAAGCAGTCAACCTCTGAATCCCAGAGCCAGGAGGCAAGCCCAGTAGGCTTACCAAGGTCCGGCGGGGGAATTGTATTTCCTGGCAGGAGCCTTGCCACGGGGACAGCTGCATGTGCTGCACCCGCCGTCGCCAGGATGTGACGCTCTGCATCGCTCTGGCAACGGGACTCCAAACAGCCCCGTTGCCAGAGCGACGCAGAGCGTCACATCCTGGCGACAGCGGGTGCAGCCGTCCCCGCGGCAAGGCTCCTGCCAGGAAATACAATTCCCCCGCCGGACCTTGGTAAGCCTAAAGCCCAGGGAAAGGCCTCAGCCTCCATGCCCTGTTGTTGGCCCTTCAGAGGAACTGGTTGGTGTCATGCCTGCCCCTGCTGATGATTCTGATGAGGCACCTGCCAGTACCAGCTTGGAGCATGTGGAATTGACACCACAGGCTCCTGAGGAAAGTGCTGCAGCAGAAACTTATAGACAAAGGCTGGCTCCTGTGGCTGAAAGCTCCCTAAGTGATGAGGAGGATAGAGCCTCCCAGGAAACACCTGCACAGGATCAGGCTTTGCTGCAGCACAGAGATTCCTCGCCCGATTCACCACCAGCTGTGACCAGGCTCCGGAATCAACGGAGACAGGAGCTGAGAGATCGACGCCGGAATGCACGCATGCGTGGAAGACGATCTCTCAGCCCTGAGTATTGACTGGAGCTTGACCTCGCTCCCTGCCAGCTAATGTGGTAATTAGCCAGCACTGTATATCTTCAAGCCTCTTGCGGAAGGAACTTGTGCTGGCAAACGTCTTTTGACAGGACCTACTCCGTGTATCTCTGCTTCAGAACTCGTCGTCTTGATCCTCGGCTTTTGACCCATGGCTATCGTCTCTGACTCCTCTGGCATCGTTTGGATTTATGGACATTGAACTCTGGTATGTCTGACCCTGGCTTTGGATTCTGATTTAAACCTGTTTGAACTTTGCTGCTTGTCTTACTCGGCTTGACTTCGGACTGCTCTTGGACTTTGCTTACTTGCATCACGCCCCCTGGCCCTGCTGTGACAGTTGGCTACTCTGTGAGACAGGATGCTGGACTAGATGAACCACTGGTCTGATCCAGCAGGGCTCTTCTTATGTTCTTAACTATTTTCATAATATATGTTCATAATTTTCAGATATCTGGAGTTCAGATATCACTGAAGAAGTGAGCAGTGACTCACGAAAGCTCATACCCTGCCACAAATTTTGTTAATCTTTAAGGTGCTCCTGGACTCTTGCACTTCTCTACTGCTACGGGCAGACTAATATGGCTACCCAGCTTGATCATTCTTCCCAGGACCACACAGGGAAATCAGTCTGAAATTATTTTAAAAACCTCTGAAAAATATGCACTGGGTTCCCTCAAGCCATGACTCAGGACTTTAGCAAAGCCATCTCTTACATATTCGGCACTTGATGCCAACAGATG